CCCTTTTGGTTAAAAAAAAATTGATGTGCCCTTTTGGAATTTTTGGAAACAGGGGAAGGAAAGTCTTGAACGAGTGTATCTTTTACATATTCCGTGTATTTTGACGGCAAAATAAAATAAAATATTAATTTTAGGATTAAGGACCAGACCATTTCCATCAAGTCCATACATTAAGGACCAAATGAAATCAAAGCCATACATTAAGGACCATTTTGATCATTTTCTCTAGAGCAGCTCCATGATCACCATTAATTATTAGGCGAATGGTGGCGAGTCCGGCTGAGGCGGAAGCTCAAATGGCGGAATTACTGTAACTGGCGGAGCTTGATCGGGAACTAACGGTGACAGAAGAAATGTTTCTGGCGGTTGTTCAGGAATTACCGGTGACGGTAGGAAATTGACCGGTGGTTGATCAGGAAACACCGGTGACGGCATGAAATTGGTTGGTGGTTGATCAGGAAACACCGGTGACGGCAGAAAGTTGTTTGGTGGTTGATCAGGAAACACCGGTGACGGCAGAAAGTTGTTTGGTGGTTGATCAGGAAACACCGGTGACGGCAGAAAGTTGTTTGGTGGTTGATCAGGAAACACCGGTGACGGCAGAAAGTTGTTTGGTGGTTGATCAGGAAACACCGGTGACGGCAGAAAGTTGTTTGGTGGTTGATCAGGAAACACCGGTGACGGCAGAAAGTTGTTTGGTGGTTGATCAGGAAACACCGGTGACGGCAGAAAGTTGTTTGGTGGTTGATCAGGAAACACCGGTGATGGCAGAAAATTGGTTGGTGGTTGTTCAGGAATCAGTGGAGACGGCAGAAAACTGTTTGGTGGTTGATCGGGAAGTACTGGCTGGTCATCTGCTGGCGGAAAAATAGGGACAAGCGGTGTAGCTGGAGGTAAATTTTGTTCCGGCGGTGGAAGAGTGAAAATTGGAGGGGGAGAAAATATGGGGAAAAGTGGTGTAGGTGGGGGGAAATCTTGTTGTGGTGGAGAAAATATTGGCACAAGTGGAGTTTCTGGTGGAAAATCTGGTGTTTGAGGTGTTGGGAAGGGAAAATCGGGTACCAACGGCGGGGGAGAAAATAGCGGAAAATTGGGAGTGTCGTCTGGGTCAGGAGGAGACAACCAAGGGAAGACAGGTTCCGCCGGTGGAGGTGGCGAAGCAACAAGGGGTGGTGGGAAGACAAAGAATGGTGGAGATTCTGGTGGAGGTGGGGAAGGTACTAAAGGTGGTGGTGGAATTGGTGGTGGAGGAGAAGGTGGTGGCGGATATGGAACTAACGGAGGAGGTGGGAAGACCGGTGGTGGTGAAGCTGGTGGCGGAGAAGCGACTACGGGTGGTGGTGATGGCGCTACGACCGGTGGAGGTGACGGGGTCACGAGTGGAGGCGGAGATGGTGTTACTAATGGAGGTGAAGGAATGAGAGGTGGTGGAGACGGGATAACTGGTGGCCGTATAACAGCTGGGGGAGGAGACGGCAAAATCGGAGGACGGAACGGCGTAGCTGGGCGGCGAGGTGAAGGTGAAGGGGACATTGGTTGCGTAAATGGGTTGTTTTGTGAATTACGAGGGAAAGGCCATTGACCACAACTTCCAAAGAGGTATGAAAATAAAGGATCACAATTACGCGAAGATGACGAAGACCTTCCTCTTGATCTTCTCCCACCACTGCTTCTTCTACTTCTTCCTACGCCGCCGCGGCTTCTTCTCTTCTCTTCTTCATTAATCCCACTTCTCGCTTCCACTAATAAGGTTGAAGAAATCAAGAGCAAGGCTATCAAACTCAGAATAACAATGTTAATTTTCATCTCGAATTATTCATCAAGTGTCCTTCATTTTCCATACAATGTTTTGATAATCATATCATGCATGTTCATAAATATGCAGATTTATAGAGTTATTGAGGAAATGAAATTTGTTAGTGGCACATAGAAGAATGATCATATGTTAAATGCGCCGCATGCAACAACTGGGCAACAGTAAATTAATGCATCACAAATATCGATGGAATGCGAACTTGACCGGAGTCTATCCGCTTATAAAGGTTGGCATATCAAGGTTAAGCTTGTGTTTATTGCAGGATGATTGAGTAGAGTTAATGTCATTTAGTTGTTGAACCGTGAACATTACTGCAAATGTGGGATTAGTTGGAGGGATGATTGATGAATGATCATTTGCAGGGGACAGTTTGCTGTGGAAAATGCGGCAATTGAATGAAATGAATGAAGTGTCTTGTTGTATGTGCCACCCTTGATCCTTTCAGCAAAGAGCTGACCAAAAACAAGATTGAATGTAAAAGAGATAACTTATTAGAAACGTTTAATTCTACATTTAATTCTCATGCAGGTGTTGTGCAGAGTAGAAGGATAAACCATGGCTTGCTACAATTCGATAAGGATACAGAGCCATACAGCAGAAATAATCAAACAACTGTTATTGTTGGACTGGTTTGTTTCTCTACTATTGTGTTGAGAGGCCCAAGCTATGTGCTCGTGTTAAGCCCAATCAATTGGTTTGGCAAAAACCCAAAAAAAATGGAAATTCAAACTGCTAATTGTGATGAGCTTTTCTTTCCAAACATTGTCAAGTAAAGCAGTTAATACACATTTATTAGGTTTAACAACATTTTTTTTGTCTACCATGAGAGATGAGTTATCGTACTTATTGTATGAACAGTATTTATACACAGTACTTTGTGGAACCAAAAAAACTTGTCTATAACACACACTTCAGTTTGCAGACATTGTAAGGAAAATCTTTATGATGAAGAATGTGTAGTACTACTGTAGGAGGAGACATTACATAGGCCCTGCCCATCTTGGAATGCACATAAGAAGCCCAACACAACCAAATTCATGGCCCATGGGTGTTGGTGACCAAGTAAAAATTTGGAACAGTTATGAGGGTCAGGGGTGGACCACCTTCGTTGAAAAGTTAAAACTATTTTTTATATCTACATGTACATGTTGAATCTTTTCAGCTGGTTTGTGTGTACTTCTTTCGATTTTGAACCCATGAAAATTTTGACTGCCAAAAATGGAGATAAGATATTAGTAGTTTAGAAATGAGTGTGAGTGGGTCTGAATTTCTTTTTCTTGTTTTTTTCTGTGTTAAATGTATTGTATTATTTGAATTTTGAGTTGATCTATGAAATTTGTAGAATCGAAGATTAAGATAATAAGAAAAGCATTGACTTACTAAATCCATTATGCAAAACTTGACAAACCAATGTAGTAAGCTGACAAAATAAGTGATACGCGCGTGATAACAACACCATACACGACGAGCATGCGTACACTCAACCCACCCTCTTTGTTTTATTCTATTGAGTTTTCCTTTTCTTGTCTCAAAAGAAGTTCAAGGTTTCCTGTTGTCAATCTTTAATTACTCATCAGTTATAACTGTTACATTTTTTTGTACTGTCATAATTTCACAATTATTGGGGAGGAAAACTAGTGTAGTATTAAATTGATTCGATAATTATTGTTAAGTTATGAGGTCTAAATCTAATTATTGTATGTAAACGAATTTGGCAATGGCTCTGTGAGTCCCACCAAGTGAGGTTTGGGAAGGAAGGATAGAGTGTATACAAACATTATTATTTTTTATTATCTATTTTATTCTTAATATATTGAGTTCTAATTATTTTCAATCTATTTCCTAATAAGTATGATGACTTATAATAATTAGAAATAATATAATTTTTATTATTTATTCATTTATTACTTTCTAGAGTATTTTAAGTAATACACAGCGCACATTTAATTTGCCAGCAGTCAGCAACTGTTGGGCTGTTACTCTCGTGGGGATTATGCTGGGCTGAATGCTGATTGTCGTCTTTCTTCAAATTGCACTTACCACTGGTAAACAATAAATACATATCTCTGCAAAAAAAAATAAAAAAAATAAAGCACACAGCACTATAAAATAATTAAAATAGATTTGTTTGACTTTGGGAAAATAAATTAATTCAATGTATAATGAGGAAATTATACAAAAATATCAGGGTTACAATTTGAACAGAAAAAAAAATTAACAAGGAATAATTGTACTATAATTAGAGTAACATAAGTTATACACTATTACAATCTAATTAATTACACTCAAAACTCAAAATTTGAACAGAAAAAAAAAACAAGGAATAATTGTACTATAATTAGAGTAACATAATTTATACTATAGTACAATCTAATTAATTACACTCAAAACTCAAAATGTAGTCCACCCAATTCATATTGGCATAACTTGTGTACATATAATTTCTTAGTTAAAATAATGTAATAGACGAAAAGGGATTAAATGTAGGTTTAAGCTATAATAATGCGTTATAGCTTAGTACAATAATATATATATATTAGTGGGATCCATCCAAAAAGGTGAGTGATTAAGTATTTTAGATCTTGAATGGTACTCAATTATGAACTATCATTGTCAAATCAGATTGTTTTTTATCTTATTATATATATAAGTCTAGAAGTGGTTGAGGGGTTTGATTTTTCTTTCCAAGCTAGTAGTCGGTGTACAATAAAAATTATTAGTCACAAGGGCCACATGGTAGCTTCAATAGTTCCTCCGTTTTATTTCATTTGTCATAGTTTAATCCGAAAAAAATTAAAAACACTTTTGAATTATCTCTTGAATTATAGGAAAAGGTTTAAAAATATCTCATCCATTTTTTGGTCTAAAAATACCCATTTATTCATATTTTGGTCTAAAAATACTCTTCTATTCACCTTTATGGCTCACATATACTCATAGAATTAGCAATGTTCTCTTTATTTTTATTTTTTTTAAGTTGATTTTGTTTTTATGAAGAAGGATATTTTGACTTGAATAAATAAAAAATGAGTAATTTTTTTTATTTGTTGTAGTTTTTTCTTTTTTAAATATAATTTGTATGGGGTCATGAAGCATGCATATTATTTTAGCTTGGATAAATTATAAGAAAAAATCTATTTTCTAAATTATAAGAACCAACAGATAGGTGGTATGTTAACACACTTCTGATTAAATTTACTAATGTAATTAATTTTCGCTACCTGCAAACAACACTCTCAGAGCTCAGGCTAGTATTTTTTTTTCTTCGAGTACTCTTCATCAATGCTTCGCAAGTAATATTTATTACTTTTTTCATTTTCCTAACCGTGGAAATAATTTTATTATACAATTCATTTGAAAAAAGAAAGAAAGATATACATGTGATAAATACACTAACCATATAACATACACAGACAAAAAAAGGCACAAAATATTCGAAAAAAATAATATAGATATTTATAAAAAAAATTAAAAATTATTTTTCATAATTTATTCAAGTTAAAACAATATACTTGTTTCATGACCCCCAAAAAATTATTTAAAAAAACCCTACAACAAATACAAAATACTAATATAGTGGTTTTAAAAAAGTTTAAATTTTTTTTCATATAATTTATCAAGTCAGAACAATATCCTTCTTCATCAATCCAAAACAAACTTAAAAAAAATGCAATAAATACAAAAAACCATTAGATTTTTTGAAGAAAATAAAATAAAATTGAGGTTCTTTTGACTTGGATAAATTATGGTGAAAATCTAGAAGAGGTGAGGTTTTTATTTCATCCAATAAGAAAATGACAGATAATAAATATTTTAAAAACAAAATAAAGAGATGGTAGTTAGTTTTAAGAGTACATGTGAGTCAAAAAATGAATGAAATGATATTCTTAAACCAAAAAATGAGTAGAACAGTATTTTTAGACTCAAAGATGGATAAAGGGTATTTTTAAACCTTTTCTTATAGTTTAGGGATATTTTTTGCCCTTTTCCATAGATTAATTAGATAAAAAAAATTACTAATATAAAAATTACACTTTTGAATATTTTAAACCTTTCAAGTAAAATCTTTTATGTCCAATTGATCAAAATGGTGTGTATAAGAAATTATAAATATCTTTTGAATCTTATAATTTTAAAAATGTTATATCATTGGCTCCAAAAGATTCATTACCCATAAAATGAGATTGATTGTTATAATATATGCCACCTATATAAAAACATGTACTCCCTTGTTCAAATACATTCAATTCAAATGTTTGAGAGTTAAGTTTTATTATATATAATCATAAATTTAAATATAAAATTATTATTTTTTATAGAAAAGTTACATATTTAAAAATTATATAAAAACTATTTTTTTCCATTTCTTTTTAGTTGTTATGTTGTGTTTTTTGACAGTCAATTTGACTAAATTGCAAATCTATATTAGATTACATTAATTCTATATTTTAAAATAAAAATTTAGATATTTAAAAACTATATGAAAAGTACTTTAAATTACAACATTTTCATATCAATATGATGAAAAAATATATTTTAAAATGTTAGTCAAAGTTCATATAGTTTGACTCTCAAAAAGGAAACTATGATAATTAAAAAGGAAGAGAGAAAAAGAGTACTAAGAGCCTGTTTGGATTGGCTTGATTTATTTTTTTTTAAAGTAAAAAATTAAAGGTCAAACTTAAATGACTTTTAAGTTTTTAAAAAAAGAGTCTTGGGAGACCTACTTATTTTAAGTTATTTTTAACCTTCCCAAATACTTCCTAACTTATTTTAAGTTATTTTTTGATTTATTTTAAATTATTTTTAAAAAGACTTTATTTTATGGAGAGAGTTAAAATTGAGAGAGTTGACTTAGAGAGTGTTTGGATTGGCTTAAAAGTTGGTCAAATTCACTTTTAAGTCAGTTTTTGACTTTTTGAAGTGTTTGAAAAATATAAAAAATAACTTAAAATAAGTCAAAAGTGATTTATAATAAGTTAGAAAGTGT